TTACACTGTTTCATGCTGAAACCCTAGTGACCTCTTGCAGAACCATAGGGCCTGGGGGACACACTAGTTGAGAAACAATGATTTATAGGATCTTATGAATGGACATCTTAGATTGAATGGATTGATTCATGTGAAACCATTCTGAATCCTTGATCAGAGAAAAATACACGCCCCAGTGGGCTTTCATCTTTTCAAAAACTTGTCCTGGGTATGATGATAATCTACATCCAACAGCAAGGCCTCTGATCAGGAGATTGGATGGTTTTGAGGGTCATCAAACCACTTATTAATTGACCTGGGGTGGTAGCACCTGTTAGGGTCCCAACTATGGGCAAATAGTGAACACTGAAATAAAACACTATGAAAGTATAAAAATACATAAAAAAATTACTAACAATACCTATTTATTGTAAAATTACCAACAATTACTATTTATAGCAGAATTACCAACAATACATTTTATCTGTAGTTGAAGCCATAAGATTGTGCTCAAAATATTTCAGATTTTAGCATTAAATAACCAAACCAACTCTTCAAAACCGACTGCTCCATCTTATCTTGGGAATTTTTCTGCACAGTCATAGATTCATTTTTTTCCCTATCTTTAATACTTGGCTTAGTTTCTAGAAGGCATCTTTCATTATTTCTATTCATCTCCAGACTTCTGCGTCACATCTTCCGCCATCTGTTACGACACTACCCAGAAACAATTTCAAGAGCTTGCATTCCACTTCAAATGCAACTGATCTTCTCTGTCCATTCAGGGTGTGAATAATCATGCCTCTCCACAGCTTTCTGTCTTTTGTTGTCTCAGCAAACATGTTTTGTCATCATAGTGCTAGTTCCTCAATCTGTATTTTGAGTAAATCTGGTTATAAAAGGGTGCTGAAAAGTTCTTGGCCTGGTCAACTTCTCAAAATCTTGCTAAATAGAGAGACATTATAGTTTTTTTATTTGTTTTTTTATTTATTTATTTTTTTTTCTTTTTTTTTTTTAAGGCTGAAAGCTTTTCCTTGGAAAAGTGTGCAAGATATATCCACCTACCCCCCCACACACACACACTGCTGATAGTGTGGAAAATCTCAGTGCTGGACATTCACTCACCAAATGATAGTGCAATTAACTCTGATTGCCTGAGTAGCAATCTGCCTGATAGTTCCAAGTCTGCACAAAATTATTGGCTACTTAGCCATTTCGGCTGAGAATCTGTTATTAATGAGGGCGGGAATTTTGGGCTTTAAGCTGAGTTGAAATAGCGAAACTACAGGGCAACCATTACTCGAGCAGAGTGTGTTGAGATTCCAGTCCAAGTCCTTCTAGCCATTCGACACCTGTCACACTTTACTGATTGTAAGATGGTCAAACTTGAAATCTACGTTGTTCGTTGTTGAGCTTCAAAAATACCCCAAAATAAATATACGTTTTCAAAATTCCTCTACAATCAACGACAATTTCATCAAATCTGAAAATAAGCAACTTGGTGTCACCTCACATGGACATTGTATTATAAACACTCTGTGACTCTTCTCAAAATTGAACCCAGTTGCTTATAATTTAGTCTAATTCAAGTACAGTTACCTGTGAATTAGCCAAATTTTAGCAAAGTGGTCTATGAATTAGCCAATTCTTAGCTAAGTGGCCTATGGATTAGCCAATTCTTAGCTAAGTTGCTTCCAGATTAGCCAATTCTTAGCTAAGTTGCTTCCGGATTAGCCAATGCTTAGCTAAGCTGCTTCCGGATTAGCCAATGCTTAGCTAAGCTGCTTCCGGATTAGCCAATGCTTAGCTAAGCTGCTTCCGGATTAGCCAATGCTTAGCTAAGCTGCTTCCGGATTAGCCAATGCTTAGCTAAGCTGCTTCCGGATTAGCCAATGCTTAGCTAAGCTGCTTCGGATTAATGCTTAGCTAAGCTGCTTCCGGATTAGTCAATGCTTAGCTAAGCTGTTTCCGGATTAGTCAATGCTTAGTGAAGTTGTTTCCGGATTAGTCAATGCTTAGTGAAGTTGTTTCCGGATTAGTCAATGCTTAGTGAAGTTGTTTCCGGATTAGTCAATGCTTAGTGAAGTTGTTTCCGGATTAGTCAATGCTTAGTGAAGTTGTTTCCGGATTAGTCAATGCTTAGTGAAGTTGCTTCCGGATTAGTCAATGCTTAGCGAAGTTGCTTCTGGATCAGTCAAATTTTAGCACACATAAACAAGTTCTTTTTAAAATCTGTTTAATAAGCAACATAGGATTTTGACTAGTACTCAATTTGCATAAATTTTGGCACAAGAATAATTCCTCAAGGTGTTCAAAATGGTTGCTTTAATTTCTTCTGGTAGAATGTAAACAAAATCGGAACTAAACTTATAGAATTGGTGGAATTTTTATATATGATATAAATTTTTATATATGATGTTTAATAAATTTTTTTTTTATATTCTATTTCTATTTGTATATATGATATAAATTTTTATATATGATATAAATTTTTATATATGATATAAATTTTTTTTATTTTATTTTTTTTTTATATTGATATAATCTTTTGTATATATGATATAAAAAATTTGGTTATGATATAAATTTTTATATATTTTATAAATTTTTATATACAAGTGATATAAATTTTTATATATGATATAAATTTTATATATATATATATATATATATATATTTATATAATCTATTGTTTAATTTACATTTTTGCTTTTTCATGAAACAGACTGTTTTTCTAAATGTTTAATTCTATATTGATGTTACTATTTACAGTTATCTCTGATAGTTGATTATAAACAAATTTTCCTTTTTTTATTTTTTTTTTTCCATATTGTACATGATCTGTTGTGCCTAGGAGTTGTTTTGTATAAAAATAAAATGGTTTTTAATACACAAAGGTGACATTTCATTTTCATTAATTATTTGTGAGTACAAGTCCAGTACAAGTCTCAACATTAAAGACCATATAAATATATATATATATATATATATATATATATAGGCATTTACTTAAATATTGTATATAGCAAAAAAAAGAATGTCAAACATAAAAATGTTGACTTCTATATTCATTTTTATATTTACACACGTCTATCTCTGATATTGAGCACTTTGTTCCCATAAATATAGCACATCTTAAGAATATATTTCTTCATATATATATATATATATATATATATATATATATATATATATATATATTATAATAAAGAGAAAGAACAGTAAGATATATAATCCGGTGTTCTTATATTTTTATTTTTATAAAACAGTGCTCAATGCATGCATAGGACAAAAATTTTCTATGAAAATTTCTCGGACATTCAGGCCGGTAAATGTTATTTAATACTGTTTATTATAAACAGAGCATTTACTTAAATACTTGTATCTATAAAAAAAAAAAGAACGTTAAACATAAAAATGTCTTTAATAAATATTTATATATATATATATATATATATATATATATATATATATATATATATACATATATATATGGGCATTCGTCCCGTACTCAAGCATGTCACTCAATGCTACAGGTCCTCTTCACTAACCAGTAAAGATGGTTTCACGCTGATGCCATATAGACATTGCTCAATACATTCCCTATAACAGGTTGAAGCCTTTATTATAATTACCAAGGATTTGCCAACAATATGCCGTACGTGAATAGTCTAATTATGAATATAAAATTACTCAAAAATGCATTAGCCTATTTATCATTGCTTCTCGTGTAACCCCTTGCAACCTCTTGCAGAGCTGTAGGGTTCTGGAGAACACCAGTTGAGAAACACTAGTCTATAGGATCTGATGAAGAATCTTAAAGATTGAATGGATTTATCATTAGAAAATACACATCTCAGTGGGCTTTCCTCTTTTCAAAAACTTGCCCTGGGTATGACAATAAACTACATCCATCAGCAAGGCCCCTGATTGGGAAATTGGAGATTTTGAGGATCGTGGAACCCCACTCTTAATTGCTGTTGTTCCCAGGTTCAAGCTGATGCAGGGTGGTAGCACCTGCTAGGGTTCCAGCTATGGGCAAATAGGGAACTCCCAAACAAAAACAAAACACTATGAAAGTATAAAAATACATTTTTATAGTAAAAATACCAGCAATACATTTTTATATAAAAAAAAATTTTTAACAATAATACCTATTTATTGTAAATTACCAAAAATACTTATTTATTGCAGAATTAGTAACAATACATTTTATCTGTAGTTGAAACCTTAAGATTGTGCTCAAAATATTTAGATTTCTACATTAAATGACCCATAGAGGTCTTGATATGCCGCTAAATAAAACTTTTCCAAACTGACTCCTCACTCTTCTCTTGAGGATTTTTCTCCACTTGGTCATAGATTCATATTATTCCTCTTATCTCTTAATACTTGACTTAGTTTCTAGAAGGCAACTTTCACCATATCTCCAGATTTCTGCATCACATCTTCCGTCATCAATTACTACACTACTTAGAAACACATTTGGAAGCTTGCATTCCAATACAAATACAACTGTTTTTTTTTTCTTTCTCTGTGTATGCACTCTGTCTGTTCAGGGTGGGAGCAAACATGGCTCTCCACAGCTTTCTGTCTTTTGTTGCTCTTGGCAAACATGCTTTTTATAATCTTGCTTTGTCGTCATAGTACTAATTCCTCAATTCGTTTACACTGACAAGTTAGTTGTTCTCTTCGTTTCATTGACTTAAGAATTACTTATTATTACAGATTGATGGACAATGCAAATTGCACAATTTCTTCTCTTACAAATAACTTATACAGTCTGAAGTATTCTCCTCAATACCGATCATGACTAATATGAATATACTGCCTTTTTTTTTTCCTCTGAAAAGGTTTTCTGATTATAAAATTGCTTGGCAAACTATAATGAAGCTGTTCTTTTGTTCAATTCGGTCACTTCTTGAAGGGTGAGTACCGGTTGTTATTGCAGAAGTTAATTTTATTCTTATCTTATTTTCATTCTCTCTTAGTTCGGCATTTTGCTTCACTCTTTGTTCACTATGCTCTCATTCACGTTTTCTCTCTCTCTCGTTTTTATTCTCTCATTCTCATTCTCCCCAACTCTCTCTTATTCTCCCCCACTCTCTCGTTCTCATTCTCCTCCACTCTCTTTCATTCTCGTTTTCCCTCCACACTCTCTTTCGTTCTCGTTTTCCCCAACTCTCTCTCTCTCGTTTTCCCCAAACTCTCTCTCTCTCTCGTTTTCCCCAACTCTCTCTCTCTCATTTTTCCCCAACTCTCTCTCTCTCTCTCATTTCCCCAACTCTCTCTCTCTCTCATTTTTTCCCAACTCTCTCTCTCGTTTTCCCCCAACTCTCTCTCTCTCTCTCTCATTTTCCCCCCAACTCTCTCTCTCTTCTCGTTTTTCCCCCCTCTCTCTCTCGTTCTCATTTTCCCCCACTCTCTCTCTCGTTCTCGTTTTCCCCCCACTCTCTCTCTCGTTTTTCCCCACTCTCTTTCTCGTTTCCCCCCCTCTCTCGTTCTCATTTTCCCCCCCACTCTCTTCCCTCGTTTTCCCCCACTCTCTCGTTCTCATTTTCCCCCACTCTCTCGTTCTCATTTTCCCCCCCTCTCTCTTCTCCCCCTCATTTTCTCCCCACTCTCTCGTTCGTTTTCCCCCAACTCTCTCGTTCTGGTTTTCCCCAACTCTCTCTCTCTCGTTCTCCCCCAACTCTCTCTCTCTCGTTCTCATTTTCCCCAACTCTCTCTCTCTTTCTCGTTTCCCCCAACTCTCTCTCTCCCTCATTTTCCCCAACTCTCTCTCTCTGTTCTCGTTTCCCCCAACTCTCTCTCTCTCTCGTTCTCCCCCCAACTCTCTCTCTCTCTTTCTCATTTTCCCCCAACTCTCTCTCTCTCATTTCCCCAACTCTCTCTCTCTCTCTCGTTCTCCCCAACTCTCTCTCTCTCGTTCTCGTTTTCCCCCAACTCTCTCTCTCTCGTTCTCGTTTTCCCCCAACTCTCTCTCGTTCTCGTTTTTCCCCCCTCTCGTTCTCATTCCTCCCCCTCTCTCTCGTTCTCATTTTCCCCACTCTCGTTCTCGTTCCTCCCCCCTCTCTCTCTCATTAATAGTGTCCAACGTATTTATGAGGTTTGGTACATACCCATTTGTGTTCTGAGTGTTCATGTGTACAGTATATAACATTCTCGTTCTCTCTAACTCTCTCTTCTCGTTCTCGTTCTCTCTAACTCTCTCTTCTCGTTCTCTCTAACTCTCTCTTCTCGTTCTCTCTAACTCTCTCTTCTCGTTCTCTCTAACTCTCTCTTCTCGTTCTCTCTAACTCTCTCTTCTCGTTCTCTCTAACTCTCTCTTCTCGTTCTCTCTAACTCTCTCTTCTCGTTCTCTCTAACTCTCTCTTCTCGTTCTCGTTTTCACTTACTCTCTCTCTCTCTCCTTTTCTCTTACTCTAACTCTCTCTCTCTCAATTGCGTTTTTACTCTCTCTTTTTATCTTTTGTTTCCCTCTGTTGCTCCTTCATTCTCATTTTCTCTCTTTTTGTTCTCCTTCTCTGGGTTCTCGCTTTTGTTCTCATTATGTCTTTGTTTCGCTCCTCATCTCTTTCTTTATTATTTTTTTGCTTTCTCTCTGTGCTGTACAGCCACCTCCCCATCTCCTTCTTGCCATCCACCTGTTAGTAACATTTTTGAAAAATTACTTGTGAGAACAATGACGCCATGCACTCATCCAAGGCATGCAAATAACTTTGTCAATGGCATTCTGTTCTCCCCCACTATTTCCTCGCATTTGCTTCTTTTTTTTCATGTTTCTCTATTTTTAACTTTTTAAATGGTACCTTTTCCCTTCTTTCTTTTTATTTCTTCCCCTAGTTTGACCCATCTTGGTTTCTTTCTAACTCCCCTCCCTCCTCCCCTATTTGACTTTTTTTTTTGTCTCGTCCTTTTATGTTGCATTTACAATCAGTTGATAAAAAATCTACCAACCTTTTGCTCCATCTATTAGCCTCTCTTTTTTTTCCAATACTCCTTTATATCTGAAAATATGAAGGACATACCAAAAAAAAAAAAACTGTAACAAATACAGGGTACACAATGACACCCTTGGCTAGCACAGGCCTGCACACTTTAAAAAAAAATGTAAAAGGACAACATTGATCATAGAAGGTTAGCCATGTGATGCATGTGAGCGAAATAGAAAAATATAGAGAAACAGATAATGGGGAGAATTCTTTTTTTTTCTTTTTCTTTGGACATTCCATTAGATATAAAGACAGTGAAACATTGGTTGAATAAAATCAGGCTTCCACAAAGCTGAAGTTTTTGTATAAGAACCGCCACTAAATTTATTTTAAGAAACAAAAAAGAATTGTCTATTTTGAAAATCCATTGCAGGCCATATTTTGTGCAGGCCTGACTTTGAGGAGAAATTAGATAGTTAAGCAACATCAACACTGTTCAGTAACTAGATGTATGAACACTTGGGAATGCCAGGAGTGGTAAGCTTGGATACACACATGCTGTAATTTTTTTTTTTTTTTTTTTTTTTGCCTTCCATCAGCATGGCTGATGCTAACCTCCAGTAGGGCAACTCAATACATCTGCTCAGTCTCAGGTTTTCTACTGATATGAAGTGATTATACTGAATCAATTGTGAAGGTTTATGGCTCAAAAAGCTGGCTCACTGTGTCATGCTCAAAAGGTTTTTCCGCTGTGTCGTGCTCGAAAGGTTTGTCTTGTTCTCGTTTTGGCCCACTCTCTCCCTCATACTCGTTTTGGCCCACTCTCTCCCTCGTTCTCGTTTTGGCCCACTCTCTCCCCTCGTTCTCGTTTTGGCCCTCTCTCCCTCGTGCTCGTTTTGGCCCACTCTCCCCTCGTTCTCATTTTGGCCCTCTCCCCTCGTTCTTTTTGCCCACTCTCCCTCGTTCTCGTTTTGGCCCACTCTCTCCCTCGTTCTCGTTTTGGCCCACTCTCTCCCTCGTTCTCGTTTTGGCCCACTCTCTCCCTCGTTCTCGTTTTGGCCCACTCTCTCCCTCGTTCTCGTTTTCCCCCAGTGAGTCATGCTCGAAAGGTTTGTCCTGAAGGCGCATACAAGAAGAATAATAAGAATGAGCTTGAATAAATGGATGGTAGAACAAAGTTTAAGAGAGATAACAGAAAGACAAAATATATTAAGAGCTACTCAGGGCAGGTAGTTGTGGAGAGCCATGATCGCCCACCTCTTGAATGGACTTAGTGCAAAGAAAATGAAGAATGAGTTTGAGTAAATGGAACAAGGTTTAAGAGAGATAACAAAAAGACAAACTTTATGAAGGTCTACAAAGGACAGGAAATTGTGGAGGGCCATAGTTGGTAATATCTTGAAGAGACATGGCACATAGAAGACATATGGACTATTGTCCTCATATTTGTTGTTTTATTACATTTTGGACATAACAAGTTCGATTCAGAATTTTCTGTAGATTATCTGAATTGACATACACTTGATGACTCCTGGAGGTTACAATGGCCAAAATTTGATAACAACAACAAAGATGAGGATGTAAATAATGTTTATAGAACTATTGACACTTTAAGGGAGTAATTTCTTGTCATTTTCTTCCATCAGATCTCCATATTTGAATAAAAAGCAAATGTTTAGGAAAATCCTGCCAGCTCCAAGAAATATTTACTGCTTAATTAGATCTTTAGGCAGCTTGGAATTTCTGTTCTATTCAGTTCGTAAATTTTGTTTTGCCTTTGTGTCTGAGGCAGAGAATGTAAACAAGATAGGTTGTTATCACTGAAGATAATAGTATATTCAACAATGCTGCAAGTGAAATCAATGCAATTTAGCCGAGAAACTTTACAGTTGGCTTCTTCTTTTTCCTTTTTTTCTCTCTCTTTGTCTCTTTCTTTTTTCATTCTCTTTTTTTATTCTTTTTTTCTTTCTTTCTCTTTTTGGTTTCTCATTTTCTTTTATCTTTTTCCTTCTTTCCTCTTTTTTCTCTTTTCTTTTCTCTTTTCTCTTTTCTCTTCTTTTCATTTCTTTTTTCTTTTTCATTCATTCTTTTTCTTTTCTTTTTTCTCTTTTTTTCTTTTCTCTTTCATTTTTTCCTTTCTCATTTTCTTCTCTCTCTTCTTTTGTCTTTTTCTTCTTTTTTCTTTTTTTTTTTTTCTTCTTTTCTTTCTTCTCTCTTCTTTTCTTTCTTCTCTCTTCTTTTCTTTCTTCTCTCTTCTTTTCTTCTCTCTTCTTTTCTTTCTTCTCTCTTCTTTTCTTTCTTTTCTTTCTTCTCTCTCTTTCTTCTCTCTCCTCTCTTCTTTCTTCTCTCTCCTCTCTTCTTTCTTCTCTCTCCTCTCTTCTTTCTTCTCTCTCCTCTCTTCTTTCTTCTCTCTCCTCTCTTCTTTCTTCTCTCTCCTCTCTTTTCTTTCTTCTCTCTCCTCTCTTTTCTTTCTTCTCTCTCTTTTCTTTCTTCTCTCTCTTTTCTTTCTTCTCTCTCTTTTCTTTCTTCTCTCTCTTTTCTTTCTTTTCTCTCTTTTCTTTCTTTTCTCTCTTTTCTCTCTTTTCTCTCTTCTCTCTCTTTTCTTTCTTTTCTCTCTTCTCTCTCTTCTTTCTCTCTTTTCTTTCTTTTCTCTCTTCTCTCTCTTTTCTCTCTTCTCTCTCTTTTCTCTCTTCTCTCTCTTTTCTTTCTTCTCTCTCTTTTTTTGTTTTTTCTTTTTCAATTTCTTTCAATTTTCCATTGTCATTTTCTTTTCTCTCTTTTCCATTGTCCTTCTCTTTTCTCTTCTTTTCACATTTTCTTTATTTTTCTATTTTATTTTTTCTTTTCTATTTTCACCTTGTCTTTTTCTTTCTTTGCTTCTCTCTATTGTTATCCCTTTCTTCTTCTACATTCTTCTCTTATTAATCACAATGAAGAACACAAGATTTTTTCTTCTCACCAAATTCTCTTTTATTTATCTTTACTTCTTTAATTTCTTAAACATTTTTTATGCACTCAAAAAGTGTAATTTTTAGTCGATTGCAAATAAACCGAAAGCATTGATGATTAGCTATTCAGTTCTACCTGCAATATTCATTTGTTTATTGATTAGTAGGAATGCTTGTTATCCTTTGTACTTTGATAGACAAAGAAACCAATTTTGTTCTTTTGCATGTTCTTCAATTGAAACATTTATACCTTAGATCACTGGCACAGATAGTGCATGCTGCCCAAGGGCAGCCCTTCAGTTTGCCACACTCACTTCCTTCTCTACAAAAAATACAACATATTGCACAGTGACTCCCTTTTCTATTGAATCAATTCCTAGGATGGTTACTAGGAAAGTTGGTTCACTATCTCATGCTAGACAATTTTTCTCTCCAGAATCTATCTTACACTACCAGTATAACCAGTCTTCAACTGGGTCTTTCATTACTGGGAATATTTGCTGTTCAATTGGAGCAGTTTAAGTTTGAAGTCAGCCCACCCGAAAATCAATATTAGTAACAACAATTGGGTGAAATTGAGGGACATCCCCAAATGGGGAATGGTTAACAATTTCAAGTTGGGGTGGCCCTGAAAAGGGCCATTTTTGTGTTCTCAATCTTGTTTCAGCCTCACACACAGCAGCAGTTGAAGAGGCATTTCTCCTCAGTCCTTTGATCATCATTTTTCAGCCTCACATACAGAAGCGTTCAGATATGCTCTTCTATAAAGCCAATGGCTACATTGATCTTTGGATTCAGTGGCTCTGATTGAAGTATTCTGAAAGGCATTTTGAGACAGGTGAACTGAATATTCTAAAGACTGTTCATTATTTCTTATTTGCATGGTGGACCTGGCTGCAACGATTTTGTAACCTAGGCAGGTTCTTTTATTTTGGTGGCATGTCTTAGGCAAGTATGAATTGTCAAATGGAATGTGTCGGCAAATACCAGAAGAGAAAAGGTTGGAAAAATGTTGAGTAATAAAAAAAAGCAAGCTTACTTACAAGCTACAGGGAATTCAATGCAAAAACTGGTAGGACAATAAAAAAAATTGGGAACGTCCATAAATGACAATAAAAGCAATGCCTTAAAACTGCAGCAGTAGGCTTTATGCAACAGAAAAGTTAACCTCACTTGAGAGAGATTGAAACTTGGCCAAGAGAAAGGGAATGTGTAAGCAGGGCTGGATGCACAGACGTAGAAGTGGAATTGCAGAATTAAGCGTTAGCAATGAGCTTAGGATGGCATAGACAATAAGTATCAATTATTTGGACATTTAAAGGGCTTCATGCAGCCAATGGGCAACTCGAACAGGTGTCACGTTCTGCAAGTCATGCGTATACGTGTGCATCAGTGTGTGACACATGGTGTGACGCAGGGCTATACGTATATGCATTGCTGCATATACTAATTATCAAGGTCAGCAACAACTGATGGCCAACGTGTGGAGGTGTGAATCACATCCACACAGCATGAGCTAGGATTGGAAGGTTCTGTGTGAAAATGTAAATTAAATTTTGCCTTTGATTTTTGTGCAAAGTGTAAAAAATTAGTTTTCTTGATTTTTTTTCACCTTCGAGGTTGTAATTTTTCCCAGCCAATTTGGACTCAAAACTGGCACTGAAGAATTATCTCTCTATCAAACAAAAAAATTCCATCAAAATTGGATGAAAACTGGAAACACATAAACAACATCCAATTACACACACACATTTTGACAATTATAAATAATATTAAAGTTTTTATGAAAAATAAATATCCAAGAACAGATAGTAAATAGTAAAATGTTGCTGAGTTTATAATGGACAGGAAGTAGTGGAGAGCCATTATCACCAACAATTTGGATGCAAAACCAGCACTGAAGAATTATCTATCAAACAAAAAATATTTCATCGAAATCAGATGAAAACTGTGGAACGCATAAACATCCGATCACATATACACACACACACACACACACACACATTTTGAGAATTATAGATATAAATATCTCGAAGTCTACCATTTGCCTATGCTTTAAATATTGCTGCCACATATAGTCCAGTGCTCCTGCTATACATTTAGAGATTCTTGATAAAATCTGAAGAAGAATCAGCATTATTATTGGTCCTGACCCGGCACCTTGGTTTTTTTCCACCGCCATAATGTAGCTTCACTGTGCCTTTTCTATAAATGGTGAACTTGACTCTATGGTATCTAGACTTTATGAATTTCAATGCAGTACTAGAGTGGTGGCTAGGTCTCGTCATTTTACACTTGAAATGGCAAGATGCAACTGTAATTTCTATGCTAACACTTGTGGAACTCTCTTCTGGCTCCATGTTTTCCAACTTTGATCTTCAAAAATTTAAATGCATGTCACTCATTATCTACTGTCTTCCTGAGTACTCTTTTCTCACTTCTTAAAAATGTTTCACTTTCTCTTATTCTTTTGCACTCAGTAACCTCTTGTGCCTTAGTGGCTTTATCACCTTGCATGGGGGTGAAATGATATAAAATATATATCCCAAAAAGTTTCATTGAAAAGAATGGACATGGTCTGTTTACTTTTTTCCTATATTTTTCCAAATTTCAATGTGTTAAGTATTGTGCTCACAGTTCTGGAGAAACTGTCTGAAGTTCATATTTATTTATTTTTCTTCAAGTACTTTCAACTTTAGTCATTATCAAGAACCAGGTGTTTGTGTTGTAGTTAGAATTCATTTGTCTGCATCCTGGAATTCTTTGGGAAGATGGACATTTGAAATGGCCTAGCATGACAGACTAGAGGTGGTTTCACGCTTCTCAAAATCTCTAATCTCCCGATTAAAGGCCTTGTTGGCGGATGTAATTTATTGTCATGTCTGGGATGAATTAAAAGAATGCACCCTGGGTCCATTCACAGGTTTCACATTGTTAGCAATGATAAAACAGCCCTGCATACATCACTGGATAATGTTTATTGTTTGGCTAAGATAACAATCGTTTAAATACATTTGCTATAGTTTAAGTTACTCAAAATCAAAAATGGCCTTCAACTGTGACCAGGCATTAAAACCACTTTTATTTCAATGCAACCTATACTGGCTTATACAGCAGACTCAAAAAGGGTTGCCCAGGGCAGACCATCCCACTTGCTCCCTGCTAGCTATGCTACTGCTTTAGAATTATTTAAATACTGAATCTCCTGGTGGTAAATCATGGATATAAAGCTTCTTTCTTTCTTTCTCTCTCTCTCTCTTTTTTTTTTTTTCTGATTATTCATTATCATTCTGAAAGACGTTTGGACTATCGACTCATCCATATGCTTCCTTTGTCATTACCACAATGATCCCTTCTCTATTTTTCATGATAATGCAGATTGATTTGCACTTGATAGAAAAGAATGACTTTCATTACTTTCATGTTCATAATCTGCTATTTCATGAGTAAAAGCAGAGGTGCGGGTGGTGTAATGGATAACAAGTCAAACTGACAAATCGGAGTGCCGAGTTTACATTCCAGTCAGGTTCGTTGCATTCATTTATGCACAAATACACTTGAACAAGGTACAAATCCATTTCATCCCCCCAAGCTATGGCTTAAATAGTAGGAGTTGTATCTAGAAAAATTGTTGTTATTCTAAAAAAAAAAAAAATTGTTAATACAATATTCACTTGCTTGAAAACCTATTTTATTTTTTTTTTTTCTTGATTATTCATTACATTCTAAAATAGTTTGGACTATTGAACCATCTATATGCTGCCTTTGTCATTACCACCCTGGTCCATTCTCTATTTTTCACAATAATGCGATATGATAAAGATGCTGGAAAAATGGTTGATTCCCTGTACCACTCCAGTAAGTATCAGACTCCTCCTGGCTATTCTCTACCTTTATAAGAGCCAGATTTTTTTTTTTTATCATTTAGCTACAAGCAAGGCAATAATGCTACTAAAACGCAAGGGAGTGGAAGAGAATGAGAAGATTTTAATGAGAAGAAAGGACAATAAAAGAACAGGAATCAGGCTCTGTACCTCCCCCAACCAATGAGCCTGTTAATGATAGGATTTATATGCCAAGTTATAATTCAGGTACAGTTAGTAAAATATTAATTGTAGTAATGTTAATCTTTAATCAGAAAACTATAAATATATTAAAAGTTTATATACCTTTTTTTTAAATGCAAAATTCTTCTTCATTTTTCAACCTTAATCCCAGAAGTAGCCGTTGAGGCACTGATGTGCTGAGCTATTCATCATTTTCCTGCATCTGTCGCAGTTGTGTGCCAGAGCCTGGAGAATGGTTTCTTGAGGTGCTCATCTAGAAGGACTCATCTTCCATGAAAATAGAAAACTACTTGAAATGGAAATCACGATTTTGAAATGGAAATTTTTTTCTTCTAATAATCAGATTTGTCAACTGCCATTTTAATCTGTTACTATGTTTGCCTTTCTTGACTCACTCATCCTGTCCCCTGACAGACATCAAGGGATAAAGTCAGTAATATTTTAATAAATCCCCCCTTACCTACTGTCTCCCTACAGTTTACAGTGTAGAGGACCATGTGGGTCTGAGTGTTGTTGAATTAGGGACACGTGCTGTTTATTCCTGCTAGAAGAAGGCCCAACTACAAGAAAATGGCAGACTCAAGTTGAGTCCAACCAAAAATGTAAAGAAAACAAACAAGACCAATATATATATATATATATATCAACAAATATCTGTATTAAACAACAAATTTACAAGTGACAAAGACATCAACATTTGTGTTTGTGTGTGAATGTAAAGCGTTTATCTGTTGGTGAAAATTCGTATGTACGTGTATGTGTGTTTCATGG